CCCCGCCCCCGCCCCCGCCCCGCCCCCGCTCATGGATTTTTTTTATTTTTTTTTATGTTTCTAATAAATATGAAAACAAATTAAAAATAAAAGAAAAATAATATAATACAAATTTTTACATATAAAGGTTTCTAATTTTAGTTTATATATATATATATATAAAGATAGTTTTTTAATTATATTATTAAGTGAGGCGGGGCGAGGCGGGTATTAACATTCACGTCCTTGCCCCGTCCCCAATTTTACCAATCAGGGAAAATTTAAATTCAAACTTGATCAACACAGATTTTTCTTGTCCAAATTGGGGCAGGTACCCATGGGACCAAATTAAAATATCATGCCTAGTCACGGAAATGGGTTTCCAAAATGTTATTTTGGAGTTGAATTGCAAACAAGTAACAGATGGTTTTAAGAGTAGAGTTTTACCTCATATTGAATTAGGAGACAAATCAATTGTGTGACTCATCGTTTGCTAGAGCATCACAATTTTATGTTGGTCACCATACTTTTGGTTACATACATCTTTCTATCTATGACACTATTATCGATAAAATGAATTAGTCTCTTTGAGTAAAAAGTTCTACTTGATGGATAGGATATAAGATACAATAGGAAAGGATAAATATTTAATCTTATTTTAATATGTTGTTGTGTCAATAGAAAATGATAATGTCATCTTATTAGTCTAGGATAATTTTTATCTTGTAAAAGTTGACTTTGAAAGAAATGAGATATGAAAAATTCTCTCTCTCTCTATAATAAATATATATACATATAACAATAAATGCATATATATATATATATATATATATATTAATTATTCTTTCAAATTTAGGCTAAATTTGTTTTTAGTATCTCAAATTTAAAATCGTTATTTTTAGTCCCTACAATTTTAAAAAATCTTATTTTAGTCTATTAAATGACAAATAATATATTTGAAAGTAACAAATTGAAATAGTAATACAATATGCATTGGATTTAATGAGATGTTTTTCATTAATAGAAACACTGATAAGTAAATTTTATGCAACAGTACATGATAGGTTTCCTAACAAAACTTGAATATAATAACTAAAACAAAATTCTTTGAAATTATCGGAGTTAAAAAAAGATCAATTTCCAATTTGAAGGGATAAAAATAAATTTACCTTAAATTTGAGAGATTAAAAACAAATTATTTATCTTAAATTTAAGAGACTAAAAATATATTTAAACCTTTTAAAAATTATAATGACAATGTTAAGGTTCCAACTTAAGACCTATTGTAGACTATACTCTAATCTCCCTAACCTAAATGCATTTATATTAATTGTGTGACATATAAGTTTATAAATATATCATTAAGACATATATTCTAAGGACATGAGATAAGGAATTAAAAATAGAAATTTTTATTGAAAAATATATTTATACATTCTTATGTGTAATTTTATCGTAGTTTTTAATATATTTCTTTTATATTTAACCAAATTCTTAAGAGTACTTGTTAGCAAGACCCTATTTTTAATTAAACATTATAAATAAAATAATTATTATGAAAATATATTATATACTAATTATAATTTTAAAAATCTTATATAAATTTTACAATTTTGAAAAAAAAATACATAATAAAAAAGTAATTTAATCATATAATTTAGTTAAAATTTTAAATTTATACTTTTCATAATTTGAAAAGAAATTTTAAAAAATTAAAAGTTACCTTTTGAAAAATTCCTCACTCTATATATAAAAAATAAACTATAACTATATTGAATAAAAATACTTTTAGGAACTACTATTCAACATCACCGGCCATTTTAAAGATTTTTTTCTCAATTTTTCATCTCTTTCTATTTATGGTTTTTTACTTTTACTTTTAGATTAAATTATAAATTATGACTATACAAAATAAATATTTATCTTGTACACATTGAAGATCCTACATCAATTAATGATATAACTAAAAGAAAGTACTGTAATGATTAGAAACAATTCTCATTTCATAAGTCAATTTTATAGGTCAAATTAAATCCAAAAACTTATATTCTAAATGTCTAGTCCTATAAGTTTTGCTCTCTAAATATTTAATCCTTGACATGAGTACATATGTTGAAATTTTACATTGACTAATAATAATATGACAAAAATAAAATACTACTTCTAATTCTTATTATAGGATCCAAAATTTTGGATTGATTTAATCCTTTTTATAAAATTCAATCCATCGTGTCTTTATCATTAATATTTTTTTTTTTACAAAATATCCTTCCAATAAATATGGTTTAGTCTTTTCTTATTCATCAAAAAAGAGTATTAATTCTTTCTTTATAAAAATATCCTTATTAAATATATTTTTGAGTTTAATAAGTGAGATTTATTTAATTTTTGACTCTTAAATTTTAAGTTGTCTCATATTTAGCTTTTAGAATACAAAAAACATTAAAAACATATATTATTCAGAAAAAAATTAAAAACATATATTAAGTATTACATTTATTTACATTATCAAAAAAAGTATCTCATTTATTTTAGGGATATGAAATAGACTATATTAAGAGGAAAATACTCACTTTGTCTATGCTCATAGTCCTCGATAGAGATTATTCACAATTTTTTACGGTGAAATTTCATATCAATATCATAATTATCCATTTCTTTTTATTTAGGGGTAGTTTTGTAAAGAAATAAAAATTTGAAACATATTTATTGATATTAAGCAAAAAAATTATTTTTTCTTAATATTGATGAATTAATTATTTGGGTCCCTATAATGAGAACCAGTAGTAATATATAAATAAGAGACAACTTTCATATTACAAATCAATTTTGTAGAGTTAAGTTAAATTGAAAAATATACACTTCAATGAAATAGTAATTATCTCATTCAAACACATTTATGTTGTCCTTATCATTATATGCATTGTTATATAGTGTGCTCCAAACAATAAATGGGATTAAAGGTTTTCTTATCCTAAAAATTCAATTATCCCAAAAATGTTATATTATTATTAACTACTACTATATTTTTTCGTCTAATAGTTCTACCCGATTTAAACAAATCATACATATATGTTAAAAATCTAGCCTGACTTTACCTAATTTTTTTTATTATATATATTTCAATTGTTATTTGAAAATATAAAAAAAAATGACAGAATTTGATTAATGCTAAATGTTTTTTTTTTTAATTTTATATTAGGAAAAAAACTAAAAATATATATTTTTCTGCTCCATTCTAGCTAGTCCATTATTGTTGGTAAGAAAGTCAATCAAATGATTAAGATAAGCTGATTTTTGAATTTTATTTAAAAGAGAAACTTAAATGAGTAAATTGGAAAATTCAATTCAGTAAACAAATGAAAAATGTGAATAAGGATAATTTTTTTTATGTAGGTTTATTATCATTGAAAAATTAAAATTTAACTAAATATATTTTAAATGTAAAAAAAAAGTCAAACTGTAATCTAATAACTAATTATTATATAAAATTTCATTTTTATGCACTATCAACATAAAAAAAAAAATTACACAGTTGATCATTTAAAATTTATGATAAATATGACTTTTAAGAAACATTTCATATACAAAATATTTTTTCATCTCCCATAATCATGTTTCTTGGGAATCATTCATGTTTTGTGAAAATTAGTATATTTCTTATGAAATATATTTTTTGAGAAAGTAATAAATATGCTTGGTATGTCTAAATTATTCTTGAAAATAAAAGATATAATTGAATAAATAAAAAATTCTTTTTATGAGAATAATGATTTTTTTTTTTACCTCCCGTGAGAAAATTTTAGAGGAAAACTCAATTAATAAATGGTACCTAGAAAATAAATTCCTGAAATGCATTTTAAGCTCCTCATACAAAACGCAGAAATTTAATATTTATATGATAACAGTTCAGGAAAACATTAAGAAAAAATACCAAACCTCCTTCTAAATATTTAATTATTATAAAAGTTACCGATTTATAATTGAATAACAATTAGTATAATTTTTTTATACTATTATTAATATTATTTATAGTCTTAAAATAAGTAAAGAATTAATTTTTTCTTTGTTCTAATTAAAAGTAATAACTATTAATTTTAAAATTTATCTAAATTTAATTTTTTTTACCTCACATTTATTTTTAATTATAATTTTTATGCATTATAACTAACATAAAATATAACAATCACTTATGATTAATTATATATAGAAAAAGAAAAAGAAAACTAATTTTACACAAATTAAGAAAGTTAATTAGATGCACTGAATTTTCATGATTTCACATAAAATATACATTATATTTATTAAAATATCTTTCACTACATCTATAATAGATAATGTTTTTATGTATTGTCTTAGGAGTATTTTTATATCAAAAACATTAAATAACACTGACATAATTGAATTTATATTATTTACTCTTTTTAGTTTGGATGATTTTTTCTATATTAATTAGTTGAAGAAATGTATTAAATATTTTCGAAGTTGAGATTAACTATTACAATAATTGCTTTTAAAAAATGGAACCTAATGCATTTAATAATTCATTAATTGGTAGTATACATGAAAATTAAAGGGGTTAAGAATAATACTAGAGTTGAAAAGAGAGTGTTGACGTGCGACTCGATTTCTCGTTAACGAAGATCGATGAAGAGTTGAACATGAGTCTCCAAAATAAAAGAAAATGAACGGCGTTGATTAACTCCTCGGTTTGAGGCTCTTGTTTTATTTATTTATCTCCCCATAGCGCCACTGTTTTCACCTTCACCCACCTTCACTCTCCCTCTCTCTCTCTGTGTCTCTTCTTTCACATCTCATACCAATACCAAAGTAGCAACAACTGAAGAAGATGCTTCTCGGGAAAAGACCTCGTCCTCCAATGAAGAGAACCACCAGCATGTCCGAAATAACGTTGGATCTGAACACCGCTGCCTCCGATGCTGTTGACCAACAGAGATCAGGTGCTGTTACTTCCTCGGGAACATCCAAATTGCTCCGCAGACATTCCTCCGATTTCGTAGACTCAACACCTCACTTTCTCCGCGCTTGCTCTCTCTGCAAACGCCCTCTCGTTCCCGGTCGCGACATCTACATGTACAGGTAAAACACAAACCTTAATTCTGTGTCCCTCAAGCCTCAACTGATGAATTAAATATGAGATTAATCTTTAGCTTGATAATGAAATACCAAGACAAAAAAAAATAGTTTTTATTAATTTTCATCGAATTTTTTGTTGATTTAATTTAATGGGGATATGATTTTTTTTTTTTTTTTGCAGGGGTGATAGTGCTTTCTGCAGCCTGGAGTGTCGCCAGCAGCAGATGAACCAGGACGAGAGAAAAGAGAAGTTTATTATGGCGTCGAAGAAGCAATCCATGGCTCCTCCACCATCTGGGTCTAAAGTCACCGCCACCAAGGGAGAAACCACCGTGGTTGCGTTGTAGATGTAAAATCCAAACCAAGCATGTCAAAAACATGTTTATATACCTCTCCCTCTCTTTCTCTCTTATCTTTTTCTTTTTCAATTGTTACCCTGGGAGTGGAAACTTTTTGGATAATGGGAGTGGGTGGTTTTCCTTGCTTAATTACATGGGCAAACTGGGCAAATCTATTTTTTGGATGTACCTTCTAGCAGTCCCCTTCGGATTTTTAATCCATACATAATTTAAATGGAGAACAAATTTCCAAAACCCTTTCTTTGCTTTCTGCGATTCATTTATATCCTTCGTGGACTTGTTCGTTCTTTCAAACCATGTGTTTCAGGGAATTTTGTGAATAGTGATTCCCGAATGGAATAAATTTCTTGTAAGCAAGCAAGTTGTATAATCAGATCCCGAGTTTTTTAATTGTAGGTTTTCTGTTTTTATTAGCAATAATGAATACACGTCTTAAGTACATGAAAAAGGATCTTTTTAGAAAATGTTAGTCTGCGAAATAATATAACCTAGATTCACTCAAAAGCAATATAAATCCACATGATAAATCCTCTAAATTAATCTATGCGCTTGTGCTATTTCTTCTAGTACGTGCTGTGCTATGTCGTTAAAAGGGATCTTTAAGGCAATTCCAATGGCCTGACCAAAAAGAACAAGATATAAAATAATAATTAGAATGGGTTTTGGCATTTCATGGATGCAGATTTATATAGGTTTTGAATCCGAGTTGCAACTTTTTTTCTTTACAACTAAGCAACGGGATAGAACCAAGTCGATTCATCTACACAGCATCTCAAAGATTTGATATCTTTGTTCAATTGGTCGATAGTGAAATCAAACGTAATACTAATTGTTGAATGAGTTTGGATGCAAAATTAATTATAAAAAACATATATTATAAATGCCAACAACATGACTACTTGTTGAGCATCAGAAAAACTATTCCTAGGCCAATTATAATAGAACAAACTGAGTGAAATTTTAACAAAACAAGAGTATAACCTGTGGTGCAGTGACAGTAATATATACCAAAGTAAATGCAAGCTGTGGTTCAGATTGCATGTAACAAACAGACAGCGGGACCTTGCAGACTATGAAAAATAACAAATAAACATTCATCATTGGTAGGACTTGTCATTAGAAACAAATAGACTAACTTTTCTCTCTATGTTTCTTCTTTAAAAACAAAAAACAGTGGCATGTGTAAGATACGTACAGTTAGGATCAAGAATGAATAATTCATGTGAGATTACAGTGGATGTATGTAGCCAATGGATTCTCAATTTCTAAATGCTGTCTATCTATGACCATGTTTTTATGATTTATTTTGTTTCTTGAAAGATTTAATTAAGAAGAAAAAGAAATACAAAAAAAAACCATCAAATCTATCTCTCTTCCTTCTCATTGGAGCTGCAAATTATGCATTGTGTTCAGTCATACATTTTCCATTTTTGTAAGCAACAGAGAAATTTCTTTGCTGAATAAAGAAATTATCTAGATACTTTCAATGCCAAATAAGTTTGGAAAAACGAAAGAATTTTCTGCTCTAAAATAAGAGTGATACATACCGCAAGTCTTGTTTTGCAAATAATTAATCAATAAAATATCATTAAGATAAATCATATCAATGATGTTGTAGCTGACCTTATTTGATCAATTTAGCAAACTCGCATTGATAATTATTGTCGTACTTCAGCTATTTTATTAATGATATATAAATTATTATATATTTTATTAGTTGATGATTACACTTTGATGATTTCAAATATTGCTGCGAGAGCAAACATAGCTAAGCATAAAAGAATCACATAAAACTTAACAGTTTTTGTAGATAACAAAGAAAAAAATATATATGAAAAAGAATCACGACCAATGCATTAGAAAAATTATTTACAGTTATATGGTTATTGTATTTTAAGTAGTGGTTAAGGGGTGATGGCATCACCAGGAGGAAGGAAACAGTGGCTTAGTCAGCATGGTATGGAATAGGTCCCACTTTACACGCTAACTCAACAGTGACGACTGAAGAAAAACAGATTCTCTTTGGAGCTTGTTGAGGGAGAGAGCTCGAAAAAGAACTTTATGATTTTCAAGGTCATACTATGTTATAAATTTTAATAAAGGTTTGAAAAAAAAAAAAAAGTAAAGATAACTTATTGGTAAAATCTATTTAACAAAAGTAATTGTTCATTGGAGAAATCTAGCTAACTTTATTTCTGATACAGTTTTTCAAACAGAATTCAGCCATTCTCATTCGCAACTTGTTTATTCTTTGGTTGAAGATAGAGAAAAAATTTAAAATAAAAAGGACTTATTGAAGGGAGGGAAAGGACAACAATCACCTTCACTTAAGGGACGCGGCGTTGTTGTTGGTGGCTTGTAGCAGGGGACCACACCAAACTGTACCTCAACAATAACAACAAAAAATAGGACTCATTAATACAATATACAAGAATTAAAATTTTATAAATGAACTATGCTATTGATTGATGTTAATATTTATCTATGATATTTAATATTATATTTGATATAATATTTAAATATTATTGTCATATGTGAAAATTTATAGTCATATGTATTGATGACAAAAAAAAATCTGAAGCAAAGTTTTAAATTAAATAGGATTTAATTTAATAGTAATTAGTTAAATAAGTTTTACGATAGATTTGATTATGATTTAAGTATGTTATTAATCCTTATAATTAAAATGGGTGGATTTTGATTTTGATTTTTATAAATTTATTTATTTGTTTTTTATCTTTCTAAAATTTGTAAACATTGTTATTTGTTCTTATAAAATATTCATGGTATTTGTAAAATGAATAAATTTTAGTTTTAATTTTTATAAAATATTTTTCTTTGATTTTTATCTCCTTAAAATCTAAAATTATTATTTTTGATCCATAAAAATGATTTTAAGATATATAAATAATATTTATTTTAATGACATAAATTTTTTTAGTTGTGTTACACACTAACATGATATTATTAATAATTGTAAGTAATAATGAGATAATTACTTAACTTTTTAATAAATAAATAAGTAGTTAAAAATGATTACATCATAATTGAGACTAAAAATAATATTTTAAATTTTAAAAGATGAAAAAAAAAATATTCAGGAACCAAAAGCGATATTAACTTTGCCTTTATTTTGCAACTTGCTTCATCCCCCTTCTCCCTTTTTTTTTCGCTTGCTCTATCTTTGTAACTCATGTTGCCTATATCCTTGTTGTAAAAAAAATACATTGTATATAAGTTGTGTTTATAATCGATGTAAAAAAGTGATCACATTATACATTGATTATGGCATATAATTACTATAGAATATGAAACTTTCTACATTAATTTTTTCTACAATTGATGTAAAAATTCATTTTCTACTTTGGTTGGTTGTCCAATGCTAATTTGTTCTTTTTTTTTTATTTTATATATATATGAACGAGTATATTATTGATTTCATAATCGATACCAAAAATAGGTTTTTAATTGATGTAAAAGACTCCATGTACTAGTGATAACATTATATATAAAAACATCTTTGTAATCTAATCAAAATCAACTTTGACACTGTAAAGATCATTACAAAAATTAGGCCAAATGTAATTAAGCGAAAATAAAAATATATAAAACATCCTAAAATAACAATCCCAACGTTACAATCTATTAAAGCATAACCCAAAACATAAATTGAAATTAAGAGGCATAAACATGCATATATTAACATTATTTATAATTTTCAAATATGTCAATACTTTTTAATTCAATTTAGACAATTACTAAAAATATCTTATGCTTTAGAGTCCTAATTTTGACCACAAACAAATAGTTGAAGTTAATTTTATTTAATTTATCGTTAGAGGTTGATGTAAGTACTGCAACTCATATAATTTTCCTCATTCTCATCATTCAATAAAGGTTTTATTTAGTTTTAAAATATAAATAAATAAAAATTAACTAATAAGACTTATCCTAATAATAAATATTATTAGTATTTTTACCTAAATTATAATTTTAAAAGGGATAAAATTATAAAATCATGTAATAGATGATCAATCCTCAACATCCATATAAAACTTACTAGTAAATAACATTTAGTCCAATATACAAACAAAAATAAATAAGCGAGTAAGGTACATATCACATCATATTTAAGACATAATAGTAAACATTGTAAGTAACACACACAAGTTCTAAAAACATTCAAGAATATTCAAACAGCTACAATCACATGGATATGATCAATGCAATGTTTCCTAGTCATGTATCTCATATGCATGTGGTAGCATTCAAAAACATTCAAAAATGAACTAGAAGTAAATGAAACACATATCGCTCAAGGTCAACACATGACCATTTACCACACCTTTAATTAGCAAGATCTCCTTCAATGACTTACAAAGTCACCCAAATACAATAGTATGTCCCAACTCACATGAGATCAACATATGTAGACCATTGAAATTTTCCCACCAAATGTAATCTCCCTAAGGGTAGAGTTAACAACCCTCTATGACCTTCACTATTTAGGTACACTAATAACTTTCTTTAAAGCTTATAATGCATATGATGCATGTTTACAAACATTGTCTATGGTTTCACAAATCTCATAGGGAGACACCTATCTTTCTAGGTTAAGTTCTCATTCATGTTTACTCGCCTTTAGCAGCACATGCAAGCCCTATGCTTAAAGTCATATCATTACATGATAGGATTTTGTTAATATCCATGCTTAGCATAAATAAACTTATGTTTATGGTGTGTTTGGATAAGGAATTTTACAAATTTAAGAAATTTTAAATTCTTGATATTTGAATTACTTTGATTTCAATTTTCATCATTCTTCAAATATTTTGTTTGGATAAATTAATTCAAATTTCTCAAATTTTAAATTGTTAAGTTGGATATGATAATTTGATTCCACCATGGTAAAATTGATTTTAAAAATATATATATTTATATGTTGAGATTTTTTTATGAAAATAAATATTAGCAAATTTTTAAATATTTAATATTTTTAAAATTAATATTAGATAATATTTAATAATTTTAAAAATATTTTTAAATATTTAATAATTTAAAACATGAAGAGATAAGAGATAAGATAAAATATATGAGTGAAATAAGAAGGAAAAAAATATGAAGAATTTCAAATTCTTATTTTTTTGGGAGAATTTAAAATTTTACTATTTCAAGAAATTTCATAAGTTCTTGAATTTCAAATTCTTCATAAATTTTTCATCCAAACAAGATAT